AACATACAAAATAGATAATTTAACAATATTTTAGATCTGTATATGCTGTTAATATTAGAAAGAGAAAAAAGGTGTTTTGTTTAAAAAAAAAAGTAAAAACCTGGAAGTTTCTTCAGTAATTGTTTCAACCACCTTGGAAGTTGCCTGTAGTTGTGCTGGTGTTGCTGTGTGCATGTGTGCAGGAAGGGAATTAAATTTGTTTCTTTAGAATAAATAAAGGAAAACATAAATTGGTGAGGAAAATGATACATTTGCCCAGTTTAAACTATCTCACTTAATTCTTAAAACTCTTCTAAAGAGGTACTGTTTTATCCTCTTTCTGTACTTGTTCAAACCAAAGTTGTAGCAGGGCCAATGTGCTCAAGATGGGATTCAAGTGGAATTGAAAGGTAGCCCTCTTGGTTCACAGACCCACCTTCTCCACACCCTCTCGTTAAACTGCGCCCACACCATTCCAGCCTTTGTGGAGTCCTTTCATTGGTCCTGAATCCAGGCTCCCATGAGCCTTTGTGCACTCTTTCATGCTTCTGACATTTAGATCATCCTCTTCCTGAAATGTGTCTGTCCATCTTGACTCACGTGAAGATGCTTAGAATCTGGAATGACTCTTATCCTGGGGCAGCTCTTTTAGTTCCTGGCAGTCTCAGAATTTTAGGAAGTTACAGGGCTGCTGTTAGGAACAGCAGCTCTGTACCATCTGCCGACATCGGTGTTCTCTGATTACACAAGCCAGGAGCAGCAACGCAAGTTAGCATGGTCCATGAGGATGCATGCCTTTCTGGTTTATTGATTCCTCAGAGCATTTCTCAAGTTTCATGTACCTATTAGGGCTATTCTTGGGGTATATTGATTTACACTGTTAGCCTACTTGCATTTGAAGCAGTAGCAGTCCCCATCAGGTCCCCTTTACAAATGACAGCAGCTGGAGTAGTCTGGCCAGGTGACATCAAAGTTTTCAGCAATCTGTAAGCCCTGAGGTAGTCAACCAAAGACTGATAAACTAAAGTTTTAAAATGTCTTAGCTTTTTTATGGGCTAAGTATATGACACCTTATGAAGCATACTATTTGTCATTTTTTCCCCAGATTTTGAGGAAACAGTTTGCATATAATTTTTATGAAAATTGAATCCTTCATTTTCAGAATAAAGACCTCGGTGATCCCTTTGTCCGGGACCTTTCTGACCCTCACACCCTTGCTCCAGCTGCATTGGCCACTGGGGTTCCCTGGCTCCCAGCACCCTCCCTGCTGAAGAATGTTGGACTTGCTGTTCCCGAGCCTTACCTGGAGCACTTCCCCCGTGTAGCTCAAGCAGCGACATACCTGTTCACATCTTATCAGGATTCTGTTCACATCTTATCAGTGTCCATTCCTCCTCAGTGTATGGTAAATAGCCATGGCCCCGTTCCCTATGGGCCTGACACCCCCAGTCTTCCTTCCCGTACCATAAACTAAATGTTTCATGTTTCTAATTTTTAAAATTGTTCCCAATTTATGAGAGGTAGGGGTTTTGTGTGTTTTCTGTAGAACAGTGCCTTTCATTAGCACATGTTAAATATTTGTTGAACGAATGAATGCAATATGCAATTTAGTAAGATTTAAACTATGACATATTTATGGGGAAAAAATGCATTTCTCCTTTCCCACATGGTCAGGTGTCGTGGGTAGCAGTGAATGAACTCACACTGGGCTAGGGCAATTGTGTCAGGTAATCAAATTGGCTATGAATGGATGATTTAAGTGCTCATTTACTTTTTATAACTTCTTCTATTTTTAATTAAAAATGGAGGAAAAATTATATATTAAATGCAAACATGGTTTTTAAAAGTTGCTTCATTTATCTGGTACACCCAAAGAACTAAAAACAAGGTATGTTTTAAGGGAATTCGCTTACTCTCTAAACTGTGTAGGGCTGTGCGAGTGACTCGCAGCATTCATTCAACTCTAGGTAATAATTACTGCCGGGCAACTGTGGTCACCCCGTTCCTCTGGCCAGTTTAGGAATGGAAGTGGGTTCTGGTTTTGGCTATTAAAGCTGAAATTAACGACTGCTGGGAGCCTCGGAAAGGGGCCCTCAAGCCTCATAGAGGAAAACAAGAGCTGGTCCTTTGCTTCTGGACATCTCTCCTGTCAGAAAGAGGAGCTTGCTGCTGAGGGAGCCCTGGTTCTGGCCTGAGGACGGAGCCCGTGCCGAGAGCGAGCCCGCCTGCCACCCCACTTCTTCGCTGCAATAATAAACTTCCTTCTTGCTCAAGCCTGTGTGAGTTGCTGTTTTGTGTTATGCAGCCCCAGGAGCGTCAAAACTGACCTTGATTTCAGGATGGCAGTTGAATATTGATTTCCCTGCAGCAGCCTTCCCATGTGTACTTCATAACAAATCCAATTTGAAAAGCTTTCCTTTGATTGTGAATTGACCTTATATGTATTTATTTTTCATGTTTACATTTTGCCCAGAAATCTTCGATGAGACATGAATTTACCACTGTTTTTGAAGAAATTTATTCAGGGACTAAAATGGATTTTGGTGGCAAAATGATTTTGGGAAACACCAGGGCTGATTCTCCTATATGGGTTGTCAAAGCAATAGAATTCATCTAGAATGTGTTTGTGTTAAATTTTAGAACATGTAAGGAAGTGGGGACGGAGATGTGTTAATATGATCAGCTTTCTTGATGTTTACAATGCTGTTTGTTTTTGCGCTGCTCTCCCCTCTGGAAAATAGCTGTAACCAGGTATCAGTAAATTTACAACTAACTCACCAGCCACTTTGGACAGAAAAGAAAACCGCTCAATATTTTCTCTTGTTATATATGCTTTTGCTTTCTCCTATTGTTTTCAATGTTTTACAATTTCAGTTTTCAAGACAAATAACTCCCAGCTGATACAGAGAAAACTGACTATGAAGGGTGTTTTATGCTACATGTTGATATACTAGTAGTTTCAAACACTTTCAGAAAAAAAAAAAAGTTTTTCAAATGAAATGTTCCTCAAAATCCAATAAGAATGGGATTTTCAGGCAGTTCAAGTCTTTATGGTTTGGTGGGAACATATTTATATTGCTAATTGAACTTAGGGAGCACACAGTTTGAAAACCTGCTACCTATGGGATGAACAAAGAATGACCCTGTAGTTTTTCATTCAAACTGAGGTACTTTTTAGAGTAAAATAATTATACCAGAATAACAGATATAAATGGGTACTGTCCCAGGCACACTAGGGCCCTGTTACTGTGGTGGTGGGTGCTGGGATGCAGGTGTGAATGAATCTCTTTGGTAAACAGTAGTAGGGGACTGGATGCATCCCACTCCCCCTTTACAGCCCTAAGCCACTCTGGTGCAGCTATGGCGCCTGGCCCCACAGAGACTGCAGCCATTAAATGTGCAAAGTCCTCACACTGTTGGATGTGCTCAGCTCTTCAGCTAGTGTTTATGGGCACCTGCTACGTGCCAGGTGTTTTCTGAGGTGCTGAGAGAACAATGATAAGTTACATGATTCTGAAGCATCCTTCCTAAGGTTCCCCCTGTTCTTTCAGCAGAACTTGGCAATGAATAAATAGCTCCATACCTGTACCGTTAACAGTTGAGTGATGTAAGAATGGATTATTTAACTGGAAAACGGCATGAGAATTTGCAGCCCTGAATTTGGAATTTGAGATGTGATGTGTTTTAATAGGCCTCCGTCTCCACCATCCCCTCTGAATTTAACTACCATCAGGATCTGTGGGTATTTATATATAATCCCTCTGGACACTGTTTCGTAGTTAGAAGTGACTTTATTGGTAGTGGTAGAACACAGCTGTATCCACCGGTGTTTGTCATACTGGTGTTCATTTGTTCTGTGTAAGTAGTGTTGGAAGTGACTAGAGGACATGAAAGGGATGACATGGGCTCCTGTGTATCTGTCTCAGTGTCTAGGATTTGGGAGAGGAAGGTGGGAGTATGTTTTTGTCGCTGAGAGAAGAAGGAAGAGACATGGAAGAAAGAATGATAAGGAAAAGTACAAAGAATCAAAAAAAGTAAAAGACATTGAAATGAGAATTTTCTAGACTATGATAATATATGTATATTAAGAGTTGTATAAAGCTGCTTGAGATTAGGAAAAATGCCTCTCCGTTCTGTCTTGGCCTTTTCACTTTAGGCTATTGATGGGCACGACACAATCCCTTAACAACAACTGTTGGTACAAGATTCTCAATAATGTATAGTAGAAAGCTCAGGGTTTGGGACACGGAGTCAACAAACTTGAACCTAGCTAGTTGAGCTTCCCAAATAGTTGCATTTAATTGAGGATACATTTTAATGTTCTACTTATAAAATATCAAAGAACTAATTGAGTATAACAGATTTTAGACTGGTGTTAACTTTAAAAACAGCTTTCATGTGAATTTCCCCTGATGTTTAATTTTCCTTATAAGACATAAAAAAACCCATTTTTTTCCTGTATCTTTTTACTCTTATGGAATAACATGATTGCTTGTGTTACCCTTAGAAGATTGTAAATAGTTATGTATGATTCCTTCTTATTTGTATAGTTTTCAAGAAGAATAAATGATATGTAAATCAAAATATGGAGTGTTCACAAATAACTATATAAAGTTCAAGTGTATCTTAGTTGTCTTTGCTGAATTCAGAGTTCAAGACTTAGGAATTCATTAGTCACTTCTGAACACAAGGGGAGCATGAACTCATCATGGGCTTCTTTGGTTAAGTTCAACTTTATATTTTAGAGCTCCATGAACATTGAAACAATGATTTTTGTTTTATTTGTTGTTTAAATGAAAGGTTAACTTAGGTAAAGGGAGTTAAAGGCCCATGTGAAGTTGAAGAGCAAACTCTTTTCCTACTTCAGTTTTTAAGCATATCAATGTTTTTAGGTAGTGTAAAGTCTCAGCAACTTTGCATTACTTGCGCTATTGATGAAGTATTTGAGAATATTATTTTTCCTGGTTTAATATGTCAAAAAAAAACCAAACCGCAAGTTAACTTTGTGAATAAAAATGCAGGCCTTAAAGAAAGATCTGCTTCCAAGCCAGCAGTCCCGCCGGAAGAGGCTGAGCCCTACCCTTGGCTTGAGGAGCTGGTTCCCGAGGGCACAGGTAAGCTTTCCTGTAGTTCTGACCCCAGGTAGATCCCAGTGTGCATTTTGCAGAATCATGTTTTACTCATAATTTGTTTTGCAGTGTTTACAAGAGTTGTGAAATACTTTTCCTTCTCTTCCAAAATGTGATAGTAAACTTAATACATTTAAAAAATTTAAAATTAATAAAATTTTAAATTTAAATTTTAAAATTAATAAAAAATTTTGATAGTAAACTTCCTAGTAAAAATTTACACAGAATGGTTTTCATTTTTGAGATCAAGAATCGAAGGCACACAGAGGTGGTTGCTTGTTGCCTGAGATCACACAGTTTAGGAACGTGAACTAAATGCTATGTTTCTTGATCCCAGTTCCAGGACTACTCTCACTTGTCACCTTGAAAGTAAAATTAGACACAGGTTGTACCAGTTTGTCATCGTTTGTCACATTATTTAATAGAGTAGGTCCACTGGGTTCCTGAGCTTTTTAAAATGAGTCCCCTTCTATATCAAAAGCTTCCCAGACCTCCATGTCTCATCTTGTGAAGCCTGTTTTACATATTTATAAATTCCTAGATCAATTTAAGTATCTTCTTAGTCGCCCAAAGTCCCGTGACCCATAGGATGAGAACTCCTCAAATCTCTTAATAAATTGGTAAATGAAAATTTAATCCGTTATTATCATTTCCTGTTTATGCTGGATATTTATTACAAAGTACTATTTAATTTCTGCACACTTAATGTACTCAAGTAGTTCTTAAAAATTTGGTTTTGTTTTGCCACCCAGTGGAAGTGTTGGGTATGACACCACATATTTACTGGCAACTTAAGTCCTGGTTCAAAATGGTACTTTGGCTGATTTTGTCACTGTGTACTTACAAATAATATTTGATTTTCCTTCCTTCCTCTTAAGATCAGTTTGTTGATCTGATTTTTAAAATTTGTTTAAATCATAATCCCAGGAGAATTTACTGTCTCTTCCTGTTGCTATAGAATTGCTATAAGCATACCATGGTTCCAGCACAAGAGTTCTGGACTTTTTTTTTTTTTCTTATGTTTTAAATTTTAAATGTGTATTTGGATTTAGCACCTCAAATTTTACTTTACTAAATAAACTTATAATTTAAAAAATCTTGTTTTTTGAAGAGAGTACCTTCTCTGAAATGTGCCATTTGCTTCCACTCTTCCTTTTTAATTTCTTGTCAGTATTACTCTTTGCATATTACAGGTAACCTATCCCCCAAATCTGTGAGTTTATTATCACCTCATGACCTTTTCAACTTCTTGGCACTATTTGGTTTAGTTTAAATGTTGTCTTTTCAACCTTTCTCTCATCTAAGTCTTTAGCTTCTCTCTTCTCTACCACCTATTCATATACATAGGTACATGCCACTCATTAAAACACCATAAAATAACCCCCCTCTGACCCTTGCAGTCCTCTCTCTGCTCTCCTGCCCCTGTCTGTGCTGTGCTAGCCACACTTTTGAAAGAAGAATCCACAGTTGCTTTTTTGCCTTATATTCCACTCCCTCTTTAACTCACTGTGGTCCGGCCACTGCCCCAGGGTAAAAGAGGAGCATCACAGAGTCATGGACAGATGAAAGCGGGGTGCACTCACCAGGGTCAAGCCAGGGCTGTAGCAGAGATTCTGGAAGGGCCCCTGAGGGCTAGGTTGTGGTGGCCTTATATTCTGTTCTGGGGAGCTTAGATTTTCATCTCGTCAGGCAAAGGAGGCCATTGAAGGGCTAAACAGAGGAGCGGACTGCTGCCTTGCACTTCCTACTCAGCTTATGTCCTCTGTGCAGCCTGGAAAACTGGGCACCCAGGTAGGAAGCTGTCGTGAGGCATGGTGAGAGACGGTGAGGGAAGAATAGAGGGTGGCAGGCTCTTCTGTAGTTAGATGAGAATATGTATAGAAAAGGTTTGTGAAATGCAAACGTCTTAAAAATAGAAGGCGCTTTATGTGCTGTAGAAATAGTTTTGTAGTGTGATTAGCATGATAGATTCTTAAGCTTCTTCCTTTCTGAAGTTCCAATTAACTTACTATGTTTTTGTCATTAAAGATTAGCTTGGGAATATAACTGATATCATTAGCATTATTGCACGTGACAGCATTCGTGATACTAAGTCTAATGCCACTTCTATTTACTGAACATAGATGATGTTTGTTAGAAATTTTCTAATGGTGTCAATGTAATTATAGCTTCTTGTTTGTTGTGTGATGTTGCAAGAATCCTGATAAGCTAATAAGTACCACGGTGGTGTCGAAGTGGCATTACTAATGTTCATTTTTGTAATTTGCATCTATTTGAATCTATTTATCTGTCAGACCAGGTTCTCTAAAGCTGAAAGGATGGTCAGGTACATTGTAAGTTCTCCTACTCACGATTTGTGACAACTTCTGGGAGCTGTCAGCCCTCCCCTGACCACTCCCGTCCTCACACCAGCGAGGGAATACCGGGGTTGACCATGTACGTTCATGTGTATTGACCTCGTCTGCCATGTTTTTACCTTTATTTCCCAGTATTTCCCTTCAGAAAGCTCTGGCCTTCCTGTTTTCTTTATTCTATCGTCTGTGTGCATTTTATCAATTAGAAACTGAAATAATTTTGTTCTGAGTGAGGTTTCTTTTTTAAAGAAAAATCTGAACCCAAATTAGCTTTCTTTTTAAAAATCTTATGGTCTTTTTACATATCTTCTGTCAAAATGAAAACGGTTTTAAATATCTACCATGTTTGCTAACAGAAAAAAAGTGGTCAGATGATGTGAAAAGTATGCATAGATTAGCCAGATATATTCATTTAAGTGGATATACATGCATGCCACATTTCATGTTCTACATTAATGTCTAGGATTTTTTTTCTACTTAGTTATGTTTTGTAATTATTTTAGGACCTCAGCATATTGAAGATGAAGTACAAGAAGAAATTCATTCCCCTCTCCATGAAACAGCATACACAGAACATGGTATGAATTAAAATCGACTGTTTTTTCATGTATTACTAAAATAATGGTTCTTTACATCACATGACTTGGACATTATTTGAAAATTCAAATCATAATTGAGTGTTTGGATTCTTTTTTTAAGTTATTAAATGACAAGTATTTCTGAAATAGCACTAAACGCATTTGACCTTACCTTACTATTAAGGAACTTATCACATACACCTAAATAAAGATGTAGTAGTTATTCATGAATAAGCAGACGAGACCAGTGATACATCAAGGATGGATGGCAAGCACAGGGAGGAAGAGAGTAGAGCACAACCAACAAGCTGTCATGGGGTATTGGGGTGCTATCACTGACCCTCACATTTTACTGCATGCTTAGGTGGCCGCCGGAGCACAGAGGGGACACTTTTAATTATGGCGATCTCATGACCAGAGAGGAAGTAAACATGTGACCTGCTTAGAGAATATAAAGCATTTTCCTAGTGCTTACATCTAAAAACTTGTTTATGTGAAGTTCTGTACAGAGAATATGAAATGATAGTCTAGAAACCCATGTTTTAAGATTTTTCAGAACTGTTTCTTGAAGCATCCCTTCTTAAGAGTAGAGAGCATAACCCCAAAACATAGCTCACAAAGGGATTTTTGAAGGGGGCAGAAAATATGGTCTCCTGATACTCCGAATGGTTTGGTGTGAGCTGAAGGCAGCCCTAAAGGAAACAAACAATAATTTTTCTTAAAAACAAACAGAATGCCTTATCATTTAAATTGGGTGTTTTGAGGGTAAATATAAAGCATGCCAGCTAGCTCCATCCGTCCGGCTTGGGGAGACCAGCTTTGGCGGAGTCGTGGGTTCCCGCCATTGGCTGCTGGACATGGGAGCCAGTGTCTTTGATCACCAGCTGGGAAAGCCACATCACTTGCACGTATGTCTGCCTGTGTGTGCAAGCACAGTTCTCCCCTTCCATACCTTTTTATCCTAACACAAGGATAATGCAGTCTACATGAGTGATTTCACTATAATGAGGTAAGTGCTGTAATGGTGAAACACAGGATGCCACGTGGGGTTTACAGAGATGCTGGAGTTAGCAGAGGCTTCCAGGGGGACATGACATGACATCCAGGACAGGAGCTGAGGGATGGCGTAGTGCTTTGCCAGGCACATGTCAGCAGAGGGTTTTTAAGCAAAGGGCATGTGAAGAAAGTCCAGAGGCGAAAGAGGGTCAGAAGGTGATTGAGGGTGGCTGGCAGGGGGAGCGTGATGAGGGAAAGGATAGTTTTACTTGGTTCTAAGAGTAAAGCGAAACCCCTGGAGGGTGCTGAGGCGACTGTGCCCTCTGCAGCCTGAGGAGTGAGGTGGAGGGAGCCAGTGGCAGAGCACCTGATGGGGGCTGTGCTGGTCGCCCAGAGCAGCGATGGGTAGTCAAACCACATTTAGCCCGAGGTGAGGAGTGAGGAGAGTAGATGACATGGCAGACATTTAGGTGGTGGGTGTAGGAAAGCAGGCAGAAAAGGGAGAAATCAAGTCTGGCGCCTGTGTTTCCTGCCACAGGCCTCTGTCTTGGACCTGTTTTCTTCTTTATCGAGACTTTGTCCTTAGAAAGTCACATAGGCCATAGCTTTAAATGGTATTTGTGTAATTTCTAAATGTTTATCTGCCGTGTTCTCTCATCTAAGCTTCTGGTTTATCCTCCTGCATACTTATTTCCATTTGCATGTTTTATGGGTATCTCAGACTTAAAATAAATGTACCTAAAACTGAATTCCTGATTCCGCTCCATCTCAAAGCTCTCCTCCCCTTACTCTCTCCCCCAATTTTTTTCTCTTATTTTATCTTTTATATTTTAGTTAATGGTCTCCCTATCCACAAGGTTGCTTCAGCTAAAAACCTGGGGTTTCCCTTGATTTCTGTCTCCTCTTCTCCCCTCACATGTAACCCATCAGCAGGTCCTGTCGCCTTTGCCTCCAACACATACCTGGACTTTGCAGGGTGTCAGCCATCGCCGTCACCTCTTGCCAGGACCTCTGCAGTAGCATCTAGTTGGGCCCTTGTTTGCACTCTTGGTCCTCCACACCCCATGTTCGGTGTAGCCTAGCCCCCGGGCCTCATCTGGGCCTGGTCTCTTTCTCCCAAAGGTCACTTTTCTCTAGCCTGGCTGGCCTCCGCCCTTTCCTTGTAATTGCCTATCCCTGCCTCGGCGCCTTTGCACTTAGGGTGTGTGTGTGTGTGTGTGTGTGTGTGTGTGTGTGTGTGTGTGTGTGTGTGTGTNGTGTGTGTGTGTGTGTGTGTGTGTGTGTGTGTGTGTGTGTGTGTGTGTGTGTGTGTTCGTGTTCCAGTCTTTACATCTTGTCAGACCAAACATGGCCTCTCTGACCGCCATCTCTAAAGTAGACTGTCTGTCCCCATCACTCTCTTTCATTATTGGGTTCTGGTCCTGCAGGTGTCATTTATGAGCTGTGTAGTTTTAGCAAAGTCAAGTTTCTCATCCTTCAAAGTGGGATGACAGTACTTAGCTCACAGGGTTGGAGTGACAGCTGCAGAGGGTTGGGCAATGCCTCCAGCCTATAAGCCTCAGGAAACTGTTTTCTTCATATCAGGCTGTCACACTGAGACATGGAGACTCACGGATAGCGTACGATGTCCGGTTGGTTTCCCTACCGAAAATGGACTTCTCAGTGAATAGTCATGGCTGACAGAGCTAAACCCTGCTCATGTAAAAACCATAAAATTATACTGCATAAAATGAGAGTAAGGAAAAGGGACTATGCTAAGAAGAAAAAGAGTCTTAAAATTAGTGACAGGAATCAGAATTGGTGATAGGCTCGCTGAGCAGAAGAAAATCTGAAAGGAAGAGAAGCAATATTGGCAGGCTGTGATGAGAAGACAGAAAACAAATACATAGTAGTGACATAAATGGGCCTACATAATTCAGCAACACCCGAGAGCCTCACTATTCCACACTAAAAACAAAGTAACTAAGGAAACCTTCCTGCAGTCTTGGGGGAGTTCAGTCGCAGCAGAAATAGTAATATTGTTATCACTGTGATGAGGAGATGTTAAAAATAACAACAGCAACACATAATAACACCTTAATGCTTATGGGCCATGCATTTTCCTAAATGCTTTAGTCCCCACAACAATGTTTATTTCCTTTTTTATGGAAGAGACATTTTAGGCACAGAGTAGTTAAGTAACTTGCCCAGGGTCACACAGCTGGTGTGGAAGAATTTAAGTCTGGAGCCATACATTCCAGACCCCACATTCCTAAACACTGGGCTTCATTGTACAGCTAAATCCAGTTCACTTGAGTTCTTTGGTTAGAGTGTTTATGTAGGACATATTCTGCTTCAAGCCATGGCAGGTGACTATCAAGAAACTTTTTACACCACAATGATAAGCAATATCAAATTTCAGTGGAATAATGAGTATGTCCAACATCTACACAAATAAAGCAGAACGGTTAAGTAAGTCATAAGAGTCTCGGAAGAGCTAATGGGCATCTTTGCAAAACTGAAAGGCTAAACATAGGAATGCTTAGATACAAAATATAATGCAGGTGACCTCATGCAGATGACCTAGCCTACGGCTTAGATAGGTGGCTGGCTGTTCTTTGCAGTAGAATAGTAGTATAGAGTTATTTAAGATGGTTACATGGAATTTTAGGTCAATTCTCAACAGAAGGTCACAGGGTGACCCTTTCTCTGACCTAGTGATAATTGAAGAGGCAAATATATTAATAATTGTGAATTCATTTGTTCATTCATTAAATATTTATGGAGCATTTCCTATGGTTGGGCATGGCCCTAGGTGCTGGGCCTACACAGTGAACAAAATATATGAGGTTCCTAACAATGGTGAGCTGGTGTTCTAGTGAGGGAAGACCTTTCACACCCTCTGCCGTGCCCCTCAGTGGGTACCAACAGAGGAGGGGCAGGGAGTAACCAGCGGGAGGACCAGCATGTGGCCACCCTACCGCAGGGGCTTCTGTGTCTGTGTTGGCTGCTGCTGTGAGCCCTTGCCCTACTCCTGTATCACTTTGTTCATTGTCGTTTTTCAAGGAGAAGATCTTCAACAAGAAGCGGGTGGACCAGCAGGAGAACAGCAACCGGAAGATGATTTCCTTGTAGGAGGTGATGCAGATGATACATTTGAACCTCTGGAAGCTGGAACATTTCCGGAAGGTAGAACATTTCTTGGTTTCAGAAAAAGATACAATAGGCAATTTGTAATTATGGTTGTTAAAATTTTTCTTAAACTTCTTTAAAACCAATATTTAGCTTTTATCTAAAGTTGTTCTTTTTTTAAGTTGAAACTGAAAACTTCATTTAAAATGATTCTTTCCCCCAAAAAAATACATATCCCAATTTCGATCAAAGCACTTTTAGGGGAAACTGAGACTATATACATTTCTTATAGAAATTAAGTGAACTACTTCAGCATGTTACTTTTATTGTCTTTTTTTCTAGAGTACCATGTGTTATAAAAAACTCAAACAGCTGATGAAATATTTTATTTGATAACCTATCACATAGGCTCTTGTTCTAACATAACCTCTGTAATTACAGTTGGTGGAACACAATTCTTAGTTTTTATACTTGGCATTGGCAAACTTTCTGAAAATGGCCAGAAGGTGAATATTTTGGGCTTTGCAGACCCTATAGCCTCTGTTGGAACAACTCAGCTGTGCTATCATGTAGAATCAGCCCTGGACAGCACCCAAATGGGCATTTACAGTGATGTCTCAGTAAAGGTCCATGTACAGAATTGAAGGCAGAATGGATCTGGTCTATAGACTAGTTTGCCTGACAGCTCTTCTGTTTCAATATTTTTAATTAAATGCGGTTATTCAAATATCAGTTGAGTAGATTCCCTGGGATCATATGCAATAGGCATGCATGTTAGAGTTAGAGTTATTGACTGTCAATATACAGAGTAGCAATTTCTGTGAGGATGAAAACTCTTTTTATGATATTTTATTATTCTTTTTAATGGTATAATTTATTTTATTTTGTATTTTTTTATTTTTGAATATTTTTTTTTATTTTTCAGTTACAGTTGACTGAAAACTCTGTATTTATATGTTTTGTGCCCTGCTATGCTTTACTGTGAGACTGCCATTATTTGGGGGAGCCCTGTTAAATAAGGACACATGCTTCCTCCTTGTGACATCTGTCCGCTCCTCTGTTTTGAAAGTAGTCCTTGAAAATCTTAATGATTCTTAAACGATTTTAAGCCACAAGTTTTGTACTCTGATTTATGTCATTGTATTTAAAATATATAAATGATATAATTTTACATTTAAAAATGAATGCGAATGAACCATTGTTTACTTAAGGTGGATGTTTCTTTTCTGAAGAGCCATGAAAGAAAACAAGCCTATGCTGAAATTGGGGGAAATGGTTGGTGGCACCACACCCAAATTAACCACATTACACATTACACCCCACCCTGTAATAATCATCAGAGCCTGAGGTGGGGTTGCAACAGCACGTCTCCAGAAGCCACATGAGATCTAGACCAGAGGTGCCTGGCAGGATTCAAGGATTAGCGAAGTCTAAGCCGAGTTCAGAGAGGTAGACAGAACTAACTGAGAAACGGGCAGTAGATCAAATCCGCAGCACTTGCAAAGGTAGGAGGAACCCAGAGCCGTGGGGTCCTGGATCCAGAGGGAGAACTTCTTATGAACACGTCCACGGACATGGACTGGTATCCCACAAATAGTTTTCAATGGAGGCCATTAAGATCCGTTAGCTTCTAAAAGAATGCATGTGACCCACCACCCTAGACAAAGTGAATCGGAATATTTGGGGAGTAGGAGGCCCCCCAAATGGATAACTGTAAAAGCTTCCCAGGGGATATTAAGGTGCAGCCAGGGTTGAGCAGAAGTGTGGCGAGGCTGTTGATTCTTTTATGTGCCTCACCTCACACCCAACTCGGCTGTGTGTGAGCAGGTGAAGGTTTCAACACCTGTGCTCATAGCCTGTAGGTGTCAGGCACTCGTCTAGGCTAAAAACTTGGGTGGAGAGGTAGCCTCTGCACAGCACAGTTGCCAGGACTTTTTAAAAATATAAAGGTAATACAAAAGTATATTTACTTCTCTCCATATTTAATATATTGGGAAACTATGGTAGACGCCAGCAGCTCTTAATTTATGAACAAATGTATTACCAAAAGCTTATATTTGTGTCAGTTGTTAAGGGCAGGAAATGCGCTTTTTTATAGAAATAGTGTTATAAGTGATAGTTTGGTTTCCATATCAGCCTAGAGAATTGTATATAATGTAAAACTTTCTGTGAAAAGTGTAAACTCAAAGTGCTTTGGAACACGTATATGATTTTGGCTACATTGCACATTGAAAATAGACACTTATAGGCTAGCTTTAGAACTTCAGTTGTCATGTATGTCATGATTTCTATGGGAAAATGTTTCTAGTTTCTGAGTAGAGATGCTGATAAAATGATTTTCGCACATCCCTGGTATCTCCTCCTTCCTCCTGTCTTCAGCCAAGATGGCTCAGGAAGATTGACAGTTGCTCAGAATTTTGGTATCCTCAGATGCTCACTATTCAACAGAATTCAGTCAAGAATATGTAAAATAATCCAAAATATAAGGAATTTGATATGTTTGAGGATAGGAGTTATAGATTGGGGGCAGGAAGGAAACACTTGTAAAAAATTGATAAATTGAAGACGCCCTATTTTCTAACCTAATCCTTAAGTGGGGCATAGATTCAGTTTGAACTTAAAAGTTGCCTATTAAACAACTTCAGAAATTAAAAATATTTACACTTCATGAAGCTGTTAAATTACCAAGGGTCACATGCATGGTGAGGATTATACGGTGACAGCACTTTTTTGTCAGGGGCATGTGGGTTAAGTTATCAACACGTTTACCTGTCAGCTCCCCAAACTTAGCGTCTCCTCTTTTCTTCCTTTGGCATTCCCATCTGTACACAGTGCACTTTCGCTCTAGCAAATAGGCCGCCAGAGCAGAATGTGATGTAGATTAGAAGTAAGCCCCTTTTCTGGGCCCAGCGTTTGTCAGCGTGTGACTCTAAGTCATCCTCTCTCTTTAGCCCAGGTTATGGCATCTGTCAGCCACGTGTGGGGTTGTTGACTGGACCAAATGAATAAGGGAACGTGTGAGGCATTGCTAAGTGCAGTTCCAGGGAAAGGTAGTGTTTAGCAGATGTTTAATAGATATACTTATGTTTTAACAGTTACTTGCTTTCAAAATAAAATCAGTGGTAAGCATAGATTCAGAATATACTTATACAGTATATATACATACCATTTTCTGAAAGTACTAATACTGATATCATGTTTTTTTCCAGAAACTGAACATAGTCACCATGTAGAAGAGACAGGTGAGATTTTAATTTAATACTCTTCTTTTTTTATTAGTATGAGCCTTCTCCTAAAAAGCATCAAGAAAGAGTGAAAACATTACCTATGATTATTTATTATATATTAATAATATTTTATAATATATCAAATATTACAATATATAGTTAATAATTTTTTATATATTATGTATTATATCATAATTATATCTTTGTGAATATAGTCTTTGTGTTTTTGAAGTCTACTTCCTGAGGATAAATTTTCAGTAGTGTGATTAGTAGGTCAAAAGATATGGTAGAATTGCTTGTTTTACAGTCTTAATTGACAAAGTCAGTGAAAGGTCAGAATTGTGTATTGCTACATGTCACGCGTCCCCATAGGTTATGGCCACACTGGAGATGAACACATTATCTTTCAGTTAAGCCCGTGTTGTTGGCCAGTTTTTCTTCCTGTTGTGGAGTAGGGCCCTCTTTCTGTGCGTGAGGACCATGTGATATCTCATCGTTCGTTGGCTGGCAGTTAGGGGTATATCGTTGTTTCAACCATATGTATCTGTAAACACTAGAATTATGTTGCCATGTGAGAGTACTCAGGTGTTGAGTCCAAGTGCGGGGCTGGGACACGTGTGTGTCCTCACTCAGGCTCCACAGTAGGTGCTTGCTGAGCGGGTGGGAGGAGCTATCTCAGCCTCTCCCTGTCTCTCTCTCTCGTCTCATTTTTCTTTTCTTTTCTTTTCTTTTTCTGAATATAGTTGCATTCACATAAGTTAAGTAAGACTCTAGCTCCCCTATTTTGTGGTTTGATTATAAATGCATTGTGGTGGGGCTGTCTTATTCATGGTTGTACTTGGCATTTAGCACAGGCGGTACTGTTTGTTCCCTGGGTGAATGTGAGTTTGAGCATCATTAGGGTTTGATTTTACATTTTTATCGTTACTAGAAATTGTGTTTTTCCTATTTTGAATAGCAAGTGCAGTCCTTACTTGAGATGTATTTGTAATTCCCTAATTATTTCCTAATTTATAGCTTCACAGATCTATAAACAGGATATGGAAGAGATGATGTATGAACAGGAAAATCCAGGTTTGTGATACGTGTTTCTGTCTGAGCCAGTGGCCAAGACCGTGTAACCCAGGGTTGCTGATTCACTCTGATTCGACAGAGTACTCTTTAGAATACTCAATCATTTTTGGTTTCCCAGATAGTTACAGATATTTCTGTATATATTTTAATATTACGTGGAGAAATGAGGAAAGAAGCAGATGTGTTCCTCAAACTACCGTTGAGATGTTGGTTTTTGTAGATCAGAGGCTGGAAAGAACAGTTAGAAATTAATGAGGCAGAATGATGGTGTGGAGTCAGACTCGGTTCGAATCCCAGTACTGCTCCTTTCTGTCTTTTGACTTAGAGAGCAAATTATGAAACTTTATTGTCTTAAATTTTATTAAATGATAATGACAATCTCTACCTTACATGGTTGTGAAGATTAGAATTAATTTGTAAATAATTTAGAGTGCTGTCTAACAGTGTGTTTGGTTTCTTCATATTTAACAAAGGTGTATATTTTTTCTTTTTAGAGTCCATCGAACCAGTAATAGATGATGAAAGACTCTACCATGATGAGATGAGAGGTATGAGATGAACATTTACATGAATTTTAAATATTACTTAAGGCTTTGAAGTTTCAATGCCATGTTCATATGGTGATTTTTCTTTCAAAGGAGACACAGAAGTAATTTTAACACCTAATACAAGACTTTTTGCTTTGTAACAAAATTAGATTATTAAAGAATATCAGGCTTTCATATTTCATTCACCTTATCTACCACTGGCTCCATAGAAAAATAGGATATTAATTCCTAACTCTACTTTTGCATATTTAGCTTTATGTCAGTTTGAGAAATCTGTATAAAAGTAATTTACCTGCCCTTTCCTCTAGTTGTTTTGGGCAGAGACATATTTCGCTGACTGTGTAGATGATAGTATTTAAACAAATAGAGTTTTGTTTTTGAGATTAATTTGTGTTTTTTTAGCTAAGCAATTACACAGGATGATTCATTTAATACTTATTTTGGTTTTTATTCTCTTTTTTGCAGATGACATAACATACCAAGACTACGATCAACAAGGTTTGAAAATGCTTTTTAACCTTCAGCCACCTGCTTGTTTTAAACTCGACTCATAGGTTGAGTATATAGTATAGAGAATAATGTTTTAAGCTACAAAACCATAACTCAAAACATCAAAATGAATGGTAATTTTCAAATACTTTACTTGGGGAGATTGTTTACCTATTTCAGTGCTTCTGCCATTGCTTAAATAATTTCTTAAACTCATTGCAAGTTGCCTTAAGAAACAGTTAAAATTATTCAAGAAAACTTATCTCATTACTTTCTAGTCTTAGCTATCTTTAGACTAAAATATGTGTTGTGTTCTTTAAACTGCTTTGGTCAGAGTTTAACTACTCTAGCTGCTTCTACAAATAAATCCCTCTCTTAAGTAAGGGTGACTGCTCTGCCGGCATGGAGAAAGGTGCAGAAGAATTTCATTCCAAGGGTAAAGGCAGCATGGAGTGAATAGTTCTGGCAGATCTGTGGTGTGAGGAGTATTAGATTCAGATGTAGACAATGATAGCTCCTTTTTGCCCAAGCACTTCTTGTGCTGTTTTATTAAACTCCACAAAGTAGATTATATTTCTGCTACTTCCCAGAGGAGAGAAACATGGTTCAGAAAATATAACTAATTTGCATAAGTTCATATGACCCACAAATGACAGAGCCAGTGGTGTATCTTTTTTATTCTGATATCTTCAGCAATGACTGTAGAAGGAAATAAGTCAGTCAGGTGCAACTTTGAGTGTAAAGCAAGAAGGATGAAGAAATGTATAGTGCTTGAGTCCAATATGAGGACTTTCTATGTGCTAGATGGTTTTAGGGCTTGACAGTCAAAGATGAATATATTATAGAGTCCCAACTTTAAGAAATTTGTAGTCTTGTGATAGTTGGTGAATTTCAATTGAAAATTAGGAATGGCTGTGTGTAGGCCAGATCAGCTAATTTTTTAAGTGTATGTATTTAATATTTGAGACCCTACCAAGATCACCATCCACGGTGGCTATTTCTATGGGGATACCATTGGAAGAATTCTGGATTCTATCTTTAGGGAACTAATATTTTTTTATAAGAAATTAAACAACTTGGCCACTATGATTTTATTTAGATTTTCTTTTCAGTTTTGAATTTGAAGGAGAAAATAGGAAACTAAAATGTAGAGGTAGGGTTTGACATACTTTTCTAATTTCTGCCAGTCATTTTAGTGTTTTCCTCAATATGCTGGAAAGAACATGTTTGGAATGCAATTTGCACACTAGGTGTAGAGAACCTCAACATTAAACTGGAAAGAAATGTAAAATTACACACCAAAAAAGACGCTGTAAAGTTGCTAAAAAGATGTTGTAAAAATAGATGTATTCTCATTGGCAGAATATCATAATAAATATAATTTAAAATATTAACAAAGAATAATAAATACAACCTAAAGGATCACCAAGATTTGGTGAGATACTTTGGATTTCCTTGCTATAGAACATAAGCTTTTTTAAACAAAATAGATCTAATAGAACACAGAATTAGTCACTCTGTTTTAAAAAGATACCTTTGTGGAATTCAGGTGAAACTGTAAGTAGGGTAAAACAAAATGTTTTTAGTGGAAAACAGAATATATAATAAACTCCCCAAACTCTAGAAAACATATGGCTTACTAAGGTTGTAGATGGAAGCAGCTTTCCACATAATAAATAGCCTAGAAAGCATCAAGCCTACACTGGATATGCTTGGGAAATAATAGTACCGTCTTACCATCGAATTGATTTATTCATACACTACCTATGTATTAAGTGTCTTGTGTCCAAAGCATAGGATACTGGAACAGCTCTAGTGAGGAACACACACATGGCCCCTGTTCCCATGGACATAATAGTTTAGCGGAGTAGAAATGACACAAGTAATTTCAATTTAGTATTCAGTTACAGCCGTGCTAAGTGCTGGTGAGAACGGGTGTCGTGTGTGACAGAATATAGTAAAGACACCCTGTCTAGTCCTGCACGAGGGAAGGCGTCCATGAGAGCAGTTGACAAGGCGAGGGGAGAGGTGGCTGGAACAGAGTGTGGAGCCTCTGAGGTGGGAAGATGTGTCTAAAGAGTGGACACTGAGAGGCTCGTGGGCTGAGATTGAGAGGTGGTCCTGGTCCAGAGGATGCCTGTAGGTAGGTCAAGGACATCCACCTTCACCTTAGGGCACCGTTCAGGGCACAACAAAGTCAGACCTGCATCTTGTTGAGGTCAGTCAGTCTGACATGTAGCAAATAGGCTAGAGAGAGACAAGAGTAGACATGGGGAGCCCAGGTCGGTGACTGAAGCTCTCCAAACCTGATCTTGCCCTGAGTCACATCTCTGCCAAATGAGGAGTTGAAGGAGATGAATCTCAAGAAAGGGGTGTTCAGCAGGTCCATGCTGCTGAGGCCACACAAGGCGAGCCCTGCAAACGTGCCTTCGGCCTAGAGCCCTGGCCTCTCAGTGACCTGGGGCAGCGCTGTTTTCAGCAGACAGAAGTGAGGCAACAATGAAAGCAGTTTAAACCAGCAGTTGTTTTCAGTGCACAAAAGTGAGGCAACAATGAAAGCAGTTTAAACCAGGGTGACGGGAAGGCGAAGGGCACTAGACAAAGTTGAGAAACATTAGAAGGTAAAATCAACAGCACTTGACGTGTGGTTTCTCTGGGGGGAGAGCACGGTGTCCAGAGCACCTCCGCCTTACGCACTTGACAGATGCTGATGCTTTTTTCCTAAGACAGCCCAGACTGGCAAACAGGAACTGAGCCAGGTGGTCTAGTCCAAATGTGTGAATAGTTCAGGCCGAGGTATCTAATAAGCTGATAGAGCAGCGGTTCTCAACCTTCCTAATGCCGCGACCTCTTAATACAGTCCTTCATGTTGTGGTGACCCCCAACCATAAAATTATTTTCGTTCCTCCTCTATAACTGTAATTTTGCTACTGTTATGAATCGTAATGTAAATATCTTTTTGTTTTCTGATGGTCTTAGGCAACCCCTGTGAAAGGGTCGTTCGACCCCCAAAGGGGTCGCGACCCACAGGTTGAGAACTGCTGTAATAGATGATGTTTGGGTCTCAGAAGAGAAGTCTAATTCATGGTTGGGAGTTTGAGATATATACATGGTCATTGAAGCCAAAGTCTGAGCTCCCTTAGAGAACAAAGTGAGAAGAGAGGAGGTTCCGTGGCTGGACTTTGATGAAAGCCGATATTTAATGGCTGGTAAGAAAAGGATGAAATGATAAAGAATTCTGAGAAAGAGAAACAAAGGAATAAAAGGAGAATGTGGTAACATTGACATCCAAGGGCACTAGTGTTTGAAAGGAAAGGAGCTGTTAAGACATGTAAGGGTGGGAGGTGTCCCCTAGATGAAAAGTGGCACCCTTCTCTTCAGAAACAGACTCATAGGCACAGAGGGAAGGAGGTGTGGGGGATGGGAGAAAAAGGGGAGCAAAAGGCACAAACTTCAGGTATAAAATAAATAACTTGCAGGAATGCAATGTACAGCACAGGGAATATAGTCAGTAGTATCATGCTGACAGATGATTATTAGATTTATTGTGGTGATTGCTTCGTAAGGTATATAAATGTTGACTCACTATGCTGTACACCGGAAACTTGTATAATATTGTATGTTACCTATATTTTAATTTTAAAAAAAATGAGGTGCTCATTGGTGGTCTTAGAGAAGCCTTTTTAGGGATGTGGTCAGGATCAGAAGACAGATTGGGTACATGTTGAGGAGAGACAGTGAGGAGATGAGACGGCAAATATAAGGGACTCTAAAGAAATTAGACTATGAAATGGAGGAGAGAGAGCCGGCAAGGGGAAGCTGCCTCAAGAAACGGCTTTTTTTTTTTAAGTTGGTGGTGACTTGAGCATGTTTAAATACTGAGACATGGTTCAGGGTGGCAGACAGAGTGAGCAAACATTTACTGCTCCTTTGTCTTACAAATGCCACTAAAAGGACAGAAAAAGGATATATTAAAAATTGTCACTTGCTCCACTCCAGCACAAATTAATATATCTGAAAGATAACAGGTGCTCAACCTTTTTTCTGTATTAAGTGGATAAAAAGCATAAATGTATGACCTGCTGAGAGAATAAGAAAGTTTGCTCTCAGTGTAGAAGTAGCTTTGAGGCATTTTGCAAAATGGGAAAAGCAGGCATTAGGTAGAGTAAGAAAGCTACTGGGACCCAGCCAGGCGTGAGAACAGACTGCAGAGACAAGAGTCTTCTTTGCAGCAAAGCAGAGAAGCATTACGCCCCGTTCGAGTCAACAGGAGGGTAAATGGGCAGGGGGGGCCATGGCTGAGTCATGAATTACGGGCCTGCCGCTGAAACTTCATTCTGAGAGGCTGGCGCCCGGGGTGTTTGCCCTCAGGTGAAGATCTGAGACTTTTTCCCTAAGCAAACTGGGGGAAAACTTGGACCCAGAGTGGTAAGCGGGGTGGAGCCGTGAGCACCTCAGAACCTCCACCAGACATGAAGAAAACAAAAAGGGGAAATTCAGTGCCACCTGGGAATAAGCAGATTATTGGATCCTGGTAGCAAATGGTTGGGGAGGAACCTTAACTTCCTGCGTTTTACAGGAAGGAAGCACATGTAATTGCCCATCTCCTGTGACTGAAAGTGGCGGACTCGGACTCGGGCTCACCTCCCTCCACACCAAGCTCTTCCCCACCCCTGCCCTGTAATGTGCCGGTTTCCCGTGGCAGCCGCAGAGTTCAAGGATATATCAGACATTGTTTCTGCTCTTGAAGCGTAGCCAATGTTGTGTTATAAGGAGAGTTAGGCACTACTAAAGGATTCTTTTTTCTGTGTATTTTATAGCCTATGAACCATTGGAAAATGAAGGGATAGAAACTTCAGGTAAGCTTTTTCTCTAAGCAGATGTTTCCTTCTGCAAGCCAGTCCCCTTGTATTTGTTAAAACTCATATAACTTGTGGAACAAAGATACATGTGGTAAGAAATACATGACATTTTCAAGTCACCAAGGAAGTAATTAGATATTGTCAGTCAGTATATTTGTTCCCTACTTATGGTGCAAATTTTATGTCAACAGGGATAATATCAGCCTGTTTGATGTATTTTTTTAATGTAATTTGGCAATTAAAAGTTGATATGCAGATATAAACACTTGTGAATCTCTCTGTAAGAAACCACAACCTAAAAAGAGCCAAATTTAGGTATCTGAATGGATATACATTAATTCAGGGTTCTAAAGGAGTTTCATTAATGTAAGATGTGTTTGTTTTCATTTTTTAGATAATGCTGTAGAAGATTCACACATAACTTTAGATGGTAAGTTGATTTTATAGAGATGGTTTTGTTTTCCATATTGAAAACGTGTATGTATTCAACAAGTATTTATTGAGCACTTTTAAATCTCTGTACAGTGCTCAGGGGGTAGGAAGACAAGAGTAGACAGACAGAATTCCTGTTTTCACTGAAGTTGGCATTCTGGTGGCCAGATGATTAAGTAATTAAAGGTTATACAAAGTACAGTAACAGACATTAAAAACAGGATAGTATAATAGAAAATATAATAACTGGTTAGCGTTAGGAGGGCTACTTTAAATGTCGTGAGAAAGGGTTAACAATGGGCAGAGATGGGTTGTAAGTTGGATCCATTATGTTACTCAGCTGGGAAATTTTTTTATTTTTTTAAATAAAGGGATGGTTTCTGAAAAGTAGACATCATTGCATGTTTTACACATTGGTGCTTCGGGACAACTTAGATTTATTTACTTTTTGACAATTTGCATAGTTCTGTCACATATGTTTTTTCAGCTGTTCCTCGCAGTAGATACTGAGGAGGACGTAGGGAAAATGTCACTACTTATTTTATGAATGAACTGATGCTGGAGGGAGGTCAAGTGGCTAGAGGTGGCTAAGCGGGGATTCATCCAGGCTCGGGATCTGCAGCTAACTGAGGTCCATGAACTTGAGCAACAGCAGGTTGCTACAAGGAACACGTAACAGGGAATTTTGCTCTTAGGATTCATTTGTGAGCTGCTAATTGCCAGTTTTCAGATTAAATGTTACTGCTTTTGAGCTTGGTTAGGCAGACTGGATAATAGTACCGTGGACTGAAATGGGAGCAGATAGGGAGGGGTGTGGGGTACGGGGGTTGCTACACGTGCCCTCATTGTCCACTTAGCGGCTGGGAGACACCCCTGCACCGGTGCGTTGGGGATTCATCCCCGTGTAGCAGGCTGGACTGAGTTCAGTTTTTCTCCCACCTCCCATTACTTAGTTCTCTAGGAAGAATAGAGAGAGCTGAGGCTGTTTTCTTATTCAGTGAGAATCAGAAAATGGAAACGCTAAATAGCTAGGGAGAGCTTCATCTAACCCGCCCCACAAGTATTGTTCTTACAAAAGAACTAGCCTCACAGTAGGCAGCTTCCCTGCCTTTCTCGTATTGGAAATAGAGTTTTCTCCTAAGACTCAGGCATTTTGAGAAGCCAGCCCGACGAGGACGTGGAGGCTGTTAGGGGAGTTCCTTCTGGCGGACAGTGGGCCTCTGGACTGTGCCTTCAGTCCAACACGCAGCTTCTGTGCTCCTGCTGCAGCACCTGAGTGGACAGGGACAGGGAGCTCACCCTCCTTACCTGTCCACCAGCCTTCTCTTCCCAGCCTTCCTTTATCTTAGCTGTTGCATCAGTATATACTTGGATTCCCAGATGAGATGTGGGCATCATCACTGTGTTCTTCACCCCCCTCCACCCCTGCACCCCCGTCTCTATGGCTAACCCCAAGTCCTGTTGAACAGGCAACCTAACATTTCTCAAGTCTGTTCTTTTCTCTGTAGCTCTATTGCTCTGGTTCAGTCCCATCATGTTCCTGGACGGTGGCCGTAGCCTTCTAGCAAGTCTTATTAACTCATATGCTTCCCCTGCAAATCCACCGTCCACAGTGCCATTAGGATGCTCTCTTCAAAATTACAGATCCGGCTGTATCCGTTCTGTGCTTAAACCCTTCTGTCCTTCCCCATCTGCACAACAGCCTTACTTTCTGTTACAGGTAACAGAAAACCGAACTTGAATTGGCTTAAGCAATAAAGAGACAGGAGGACAGATCAGCTGGGGCCTTGGAGGACCTAGTGAGGAATTTGGATTGTATTCTAAGTACAGTGAGAATCTGTGGGGATAACTTAAGTAAGATAGGGCACAATCTGATTTATGGTTTGAAGCGTTACTTCCACTCCTAGTCAGAGAATGGATTGGATGGAGCAAGAATGGAAGCAGAGACCACCCTGTTAGGAAGTGAGTGGGCCCTAATCCCGGGACGTGACCGTGGTGGCCTGGAGTGAGATCCTGGCAGCGGAAATGGAGAGGAAAGGTTTGAACTTGAAATATACATTAGAATTATAACTGATGGAACTTTCTGATGTTTGTGAAGTAAGGAAGAATAAAGGGGCCTTTGGTTTCGTGTGAGTAAGTGTTGTACGCGGGGGCCATTTACTGAGAAGAAAACTAGATTGTAGAAGGAACTGGTTTAGGGCAGAAAATCAAAGGCTCCATATTAAATACTTTAAGTGTGGGAATTATGTGAGAGACCCAGGTGGAGGTGTCAAGCGGGGAGTTAGAGATGTCGATCTGAGCCAGGTAGGCGAGATCGGAGATGGATATAAATGCTTGGGAGCCACCCTCATGAGATGGCATTAACTTCATGGAAATGGGCGAGATCGTTTCGGAGGGGAGTGCAGAGCGGACAAGCAGTCCCAGGCTGTGCTGTAAGGTCGGAAGCTGTGAGGTCTGGTGGAGCAGGAACAGCCATGGGGCAGGGGGAAAACCAGTAGAGAAGAGCATGGAAGAGCCAAAGAGAAGAGCGAGCCTGGTCCATGCTGCTGCCAAGCATTTCGGGACTGAGAAGGAGTCACTTGCATGTGGCAGTGTGAAGGATGTTGGTGATCTTAGCAAAGACTATTTGAGTAAATTGATGGGAGCAAAAGCCACACTAAAGTGGGTTTAAAAAGTCCTGGAGTAAGAAAAAGTCCACCGTATCACTAGGCAGCTCTTTCAGGTTGTGCTGATATACATAATTAATTAGCTATTTCCTTTTAAAAAATCCCCTGTTACATCACCTGAATAAATTTTAAGATAAGTTTGTTAAATGCACATTTTTCAGGATAAGCTCAGATGAAAATTTATTTTATCTTGTAATAATAAGGCTTTCTTAGTATAACATCAGTGATGAAGATGACAAAGGAAGTTATATTTGTGATGCATACAGTTTTTTCAAACATACTTAATGACAAAAGTAAAAAAAATTCTGAGAAAAAATATTGATAAAGTTGGTAAAATGCTAATGTGTCTCTAAATTATTAAATAGGCAAACCATTAACAAACCAGTCACAACACAGAAAGCTAGTAAACACTCAAGGTATCGCCAGAATATTAATGGTTATCAGCAGGAACATGTGTAATTTTTGTTTGTTTCCTTTTTACTTTTGTGTAAACTGTTTATAAATCTTCAATTTTGAGCAAGTGTCATTTTTAATAATTATATGGAAACAAATTAAGGCCAGAAGAATAATGATAAAAATAGCTGCATAAATATTTTGACTTTTAGAATACACTATTAAAAATCCCTCCTTTTGACCAAAACCTGTGCCAAATCTTGAGAAGCAAAAGGAAAGCTGATATAATCTTATCTCTAGATTCAGGTAATGTCACATGGGTTGTTAGATAAGAAGATATTAATGTGTGATGTAACTTTACAGGTGAATTAGCTCAAGATATCATAATAAACCACTGGGTGGTGAGGTCTACAGTCTTTTTTGTTGAAACAACCAGGGAAAGACAAAAATGTTAAAAATTTATATCCACATTTTTGGCTAGTCTCAGAATATGTTATCTTGAATATTGTTTTTCATAAAACTTTGATGAGGATAATGATTTATTTTTAATATCCTGTTTCAATTTAATTTCTTTGTGTTTCATTCACATTAAAATTAGGGTTATGAGTTAAAAAAATTTTTCAAGAAGAAACAGGATGCTTTCAACATCTTTCTGCAGCTTTCCTATCAAGTCTGATAACAAAATTGTAGTGAAAACCTAGGTTTTACTTCATATCTCCTCTGCCAGGCAGTGAGTTTTGAGGTTAGTCTGTTAAGCAAATAATGTGGTAAAGCCTGTTGTAATTAACACTTGAAAAATATAGAACATTTTGAGAAGTTATAGCTAATTCTTTGTTGTGATGGTGTAAAAACCCTATGTTTTTCTAATAATTGCAATTGGATCCCAAAAACGTCTAAAAATCATCTCTGTAACTTAAATACTAGCAACCTATATTTTAAACATGGTCAGCAATATGTAATAGATTGTAATTTTATTATTTATTGTAGAAGTACGTGTGCCCCCAGCAGAAGAACAGCAGGAGATACCACCAGGTATGGCATTTTGTTAGATGTATTGCTGTTTTCTTTTTGGTTTCATTTAAAATATGCTGTTGATAGTCACACTAGCTGTGTGAAATAAATCTATGAAGAGTAAAAGTCCTGAGAGAGAAGGATTAATTATACCTAAATTGAAAGAGAAAATGTTCTGGGTTTTGATCAGGTGAGCCAAAGTAATGGAAAAAATACACATCTCATTCAGTCTACTACATATTTGTTGAGCTGGAATTTGAGGAGCATTCGTGATCAAAGTACCATATGATTTTTGCCATTATAGATGGCAGTAGAAGTGAGGTTTTTATTTTATTTATTTATTTTTTGACAGGCTATTTGATGGATGATATGGAATCGGAATTGCCTTAAGATGAAAGTGCAGTAGCACATACATTTGTCACATTAGTCATCTTTCTCCCTGTTTCCCGTCTTCCTTGAGAGCATCATCAGTTTCGTTAGAATCCAGGCTGCCTAAGACTTGTTAGAACCCCCGTCTTTCCTTTCAGCCCACTGTGGTAACCCCTTTCTCTACTTTTCCCTCCCTCCCCCAACATGTTCCTCTTGTCATCAATGAATTTAAAGAACGGGAAAAGCATTTTAACCAAGGCCTGTGCTTTGCAATGCATTTTAGAGATGACATGAACGACACCTGCAATCAGATAGTAACCTATAAACCTCCTGTTCTCATAGTGGGAAAAAGTACTTTATTAAGAGAGGATTTTCGAATATTTCTTCCCCAAGTGTATTTCTTCTTGTGTCTGTGTTTTCTTTCCATTTTTAAATTTTTGTGTCATTTATTGGTTCAATTGTTACTTATAATTTTTACATTATGCTGAATGTGAGTTTTGTAGCAATGCTGTGTGGTAATTACTATTATTGATTTTGATAGAAATAATTGTGTCTGCCAATATTTATTGAATTATACTGTATTTCCAGGACAAAAAACACTTTCATAATTAAAGACTGTTCTTATTTATACCTCAGCTTTTCTTTGCCTATTTAACAATTGGGATGTGTTAGGTTTTGATAGTTGTCATACCATGTACATTTATGAAAATATATACAAATACTTAAGAGAACTGAGTTGGTGTTATAATATAAATGAGAAAAGGGACCCGTGGAGAAACCAATCTTTGACATAATGACTAGTGGGCATATATGTGTGTGTATGTATTTATATTTGGTATTCAGGGAGGATGCACAGAACAAGGAAGGTGGCGATTTCTGTCCTTTTGTAGTTCCCTCTGTATTGTTGAGTGACACGTCACAGAGCGCCTTGTTCTAGCTTGAGGAGAGCCAGTAGGTTACTGGATTTTGCATTTTGATGGCTATCCATTTCTTTAAAGAAACTTGTTTTATAAGTATTCCTAAAAATAATGAGTTTCTACTACATTGACTTTTTTTTTCAGTTACAGTTCATCATGATTTTTTAATATTGGCCTAACTTTAGTGAGGGTATGAAAGATAATATTATTTCCAGACCAAAAAGTTCTATGTTTTATAACCTAAGCCTAAGGATTTCCTTGGAACATAACTATAACATACCAAGTAGTTAGAGTGCTGGAATAAGGTGCTTCCTTAATGAGATCTTTAACAACAGAAGCACATAAAAGTGAAAATTTGATTAATATGAATACTTCCGAACACATAATGAAGTTCCTGGTAAATGGTGGCTATGGCTATTGTTTTGTAATTAATTAGCCTGATCGGTGAGGTGGATCTAACTAAATTCTGAAAAAACTGCTCAAGAAGTTGTAACCTGTAATTTGCGCTCATGAAATTCTGATTGACCCACTGCACAGTTATAGTCTGACCTTGCCAAAAGGCGCTGTAAGGCCAAGAGCTAGCAATAGTTATTTTTAATGGTTGCACTTGGTTTGTTTATTTCTATTATCCTCTCAGTCTTACTTTATATTATAGTATTTTTATTATTCAGTTTTGTAATAATAGTAATAAATCTGTATTCACGATCTCTTTGTACAATAGGCTGACTGCTTTTGTAATAGTCTTTAAATATGCATGTGATTGCAGAAACTGGGTGCACTAATTGTAGGGCCTGTCTCCTTATTGCCTTTCAGTCTTTAAAATTATTTTATTCGATGGAAAACTCAAATTGAGGACCTCTGCAAAGTACTGGATATTAGTTCCCTTTTTCCTGGCCCTCAGAATTTAATTGATGATCACTTTGCCTTCCCTGATCATTCTAAGACTAGGTTATACAGTCTTAATATTGCTTATTAAAGGTAATAAAAATGTATTTAGTGGTGTGATAATCCCATGGGGCGAGAACTGTCTATTTACCATTGTATCCAGCCACTCACTCGGGGATGGTGGATGCTAACATTTATTAAGCATTTTCTAGGTGCTCTTCTAAGCACATTGCATGAATTAACTCATTTAATATTTTCAGTAGCCCAAGAGGTAGGCATGCTGCTATCCCCGTTTTACAGAAGAGAACGCTGACGCATAGCATGGCGGAGTAACCTGCCTGAGTAACCTGCCTGAGGTCACAGAGCTGACAGGTGATAGAACCGAGATAGGTCCTTGTTGTCTGGCTCCAAAGTTCACACTCTCAGCTGCTGAGCTCTAGGGGATTTTAAATAACTGATTAAGTTTTGAGAGCTGTTTTGGCCTGATAACACTGAAGATGTATTCTTTGGCATTTTTCTCTTAATATACATTAGTATATCAGTTAGGACTCAGGAACGTTGAAGATTCGTTATGATTCATTTTAGAAAAGTAAGTTGTCCAATAGTTTAAATTTTGCCATCTTTTGTTTATATTTGTGAATCTGTAAGTGCTTTGCTGGTACACTGTTGGCAAGGATATAGAAGGTCAGTCCTAAGAGTCAATCATTCTGATATTAGAAGTCGATCGTTTTGAATACCAGATTTTTTAAAATTGATTTTGGAATCCCTGTTTCTTTGGTGGATTTTTACCTTTTTCTGCAAACTCATATTTTTACTTGAAATCATGCAGCATATGTCTAGCAATATGACAGCATAAATATATGTAGCACAAATTAAATGATTTGTGAAGGAATCACTTAGGAAATTCATCAGAGTAAAATTTCCTGCCAAATAATACTTTTAAGATCGTTTGACTAACTGCTTCCATCAAGAATTTTTCTGTCATACTATGCCACACACATAAAAATCGTTTTTATGTTTTGTGATTATAATCATGTTGTCCAAAAGGGAGATAACACTTGTCACTCACCCCACTGTTGAATATTCTGGCAGTGGTGATGATTTCCTGCGTTGCATCTGCCCAGAACTTTCACTCATGCTGCCCTGTCACCGGCCTTTTCTAACACTGATCAGTAAGGCTCATAACCAGCTTTGGGATGGCAGCACTCGAGGTCTTAGCCTATATAATTGGTGCCTGGTATGCATATTAGTGTTGTTGATTTGATAATTTATCCAAGAAATACATATTGAGCAACTACTGTGATGCAGGCTGTGCAGCAGGGCAATGAAGATAGACGGTGCACATAACAGTGCCTGCCTCGTGGGGGCTGACAGGCTGTGGGCGTAGCTGAGTGAACACCCGGTACGATGTCATTAACTTCTCGGTGGTGTGCAGGGCAGCACACAGAAGGAGGGGTAACTAACCCAGCTTCTGGGGATGAGGGTGTGACGTCAGGCCTCCCACATGCCATGCTAGAGCTGAGTTTGGAGGTGCTGGTAGAAGCGACAGGACCTGGCAGGTGGAGAGCAGAGGACAAAGTGCTCGCAGAACAAAGACCGAGGCAGTGTGCCACTTAAAGGTGTGAGAAGACAAGAGGAAAGCAGGCAGGCGTCGCTCTTGGTGTGTCCCATATACGATGTTTAAAATTTTGAATCTGGACCTAAAAGTGATAGGAAGCCACTGACATATCCCAGAGGAGTCACATGGTCAATCCACTTTTGAAAAGAGCAGTCCTGCAAGGAGGTGGCGACGAGGAAGGGGGCAGAAATGGTGGATGCCTGGACTGTGGGGCAGGAATGGAGAGGGGGACCGATTTCATAGAAATTCGAGTTGGGAATAATTTTGGGCTGAGGACGCTGTGAAGGGGTACAGCCAAGGATGTTTCTTGTGTTTCTGACTTGAATGAATGAGCGATGGAACCTTCATCTGGTTGTAGAAGGCGGGCGGAAACAGTGAGAGGGAGGTGGCCTGTTGCTGGAGATGTGGGGTTTGCAGCTTGGGGAACCCCCTGTTAATGGGGTGGTCCTGAAACCTGTCGGAGCCTATATCTGAGTCGTTCAAAATCGTACCTGAACTTGAGTTCATTTGCCTTTTTATCAGCACTCATCATTATACTTGGAACAAGTCACCGTGGTCTCAAGGTAGTTTTGATTGCACAGGTTACAGAAATGCGTGTTCCTCGCACAGTCTCGCTAATTGATCAATTCTAAGGGAACCTAAAGTCAAACCCCTTTTTTGAAGTTTTTTCTATTGAGGTATAATTTACACAAGAGAAGTGTGTTAACGTTGAGCGCACAGTTTGGTGAACGTGTACGTGTGTAAGCATCCTTGTACCCACTACTTAGGATGCTTCCAGCACCCCAGATAGCTCCCCCACTTCCCCTGCTCAGGAAAACCCCCGCCACGGGTAACTGCTGTGCTGACCTGGGTCATCAGAGATGGGTTTGCCTACTTTTGAATTTAGTTAAGTAGAACTATAAGTAAACTCACACACAAATACATATGTACTTTTCTGTGTCTAGTTTCTGTTGTTCGACATTCTGTCTTTGAGTTTGATCTACCCTGTTATGTAAAATGATTTGGACTTATTCATTGTTATTTATTATAAATATAGTACATGTCAAAAATCCGTTCTACGTTGATGGCTGTAGTGACCATTTCCAGTTTTTGGCTATTATGAAGAAAGCTGCTATAAATAGTGTTGTACATGCCTTTTGGCAGACGTGAATACTCATTTCATTGGATATATAAAAGTATACATATAATTTCTGGTTACTTCACATTAGCAACAAATAATTCTGCTTAGACAAAAATTTCTGGTTACACACAGACATGCACATACACATATGTAGATAGACATATGGATGGTTGGATGGATGGATGGATGGATGGATGGATGGATGGATGGATGGGTGAAGGAAGGGAGGGAAGGAGGGAGGGAAGGAGGAAGGATCCCAGCTTTAGAAAGTATATCAAAAATTGGCTGGGCCTTTCTGTGTACCAGCTCGTTTTCTCTAATTGTGGCAAAGATCCAATGCTATGGGAGTAAAATAAATCCAATACTAAAGTTTGGAATGAGAAAGTATTTGCAAAAAGTTGGACAGGATTGAATTTTACTTCTTTTAAAATCCTGTCTGCTTGTTTTCACTGACCATTTATATTGTCAATTACATTAATTACAATTGGCATAAAATTGTTAAAGTGATATATTTTAATTGCAACTTACAGTATGCATTTGCTCCTTGAAAATTCTTCCTAAATTTTTTTTTCAAATATCATACTATTTTTTTTCCTCTACTATGTTTCTTTTTAATACAGTGAAAACACTGATGGGAGAAGAAAATTAATGCTTGTATTTCTCAAAAGATCGAAATTTTTAAATTCAGTTGTAATTCTCAGATGCTCTAAAGAACCTCAAATTTTCATCAACAGCTTTGCAAGTTAGCCCAGGAACTTTTGTAGGTAGTTAATCATTCTGTTATCAAGTAGCCCTTGAAAACAACACAAAAGCAAAAAAAGCATTTACTTCTGTTGGTGGGTTTTTTTTTAAAGTCAATTAAAATGAAGCAATTTCACAGTCTATGTCTGGTTGGTCCTTTAATTTAGATTTCCCCTTATTTTTGCAGATACTTAAAGCTTCAAAAAGACTGCCCCCACTACCAGGAGGACCAGGCTAACCATACGCTCCAAAAGATGGCTGTGATAGATCTTGTGAAGTAATTACTGAACAGACCAAGATCTTTGGGAATGAACACTAAAGATATTTTGAATGAATCATAGTCCACTGGCATTGCAGTGTATTTTTTTTTTTTTTAGAAACAAAAATTTCACGTGATGTTACATTCCTGCATGTCTTTTTTTGATAGCATTAGTGAATCCATTGCATTTCTTTTGTGTGTATGTGTGTGACACAGCTTTTCATCCTACCCGCATTGATGTGTGTTTTCCAGACAACATTTTATACTTATATTGATGATGTAGCAGCAATTGTCTTGGCAGGGTTTTAATATATACTATTAGGAATTAACACTAACTGTGTTGGACTGACTTGTGCAAACTGCGTTCAACAGGATTTAAAGCCACTAGGAGTACTTTGCATTAGCTCTCTTAAAGACACTAATAGAGATCATCGTTAGCTGTGAAGATTTGAGTTGTATATATCTGCACTGATATCCTTAAAAAAATGTCTCCATTAGCTTTGAGTATTCAGGGTGAAACTCAAAATTTGAGGTTCCTGTAGCTTTTAGCTCGTTAAATAGAATAAATAGTAATATTTCAGTGAATGTTTTAAATTATCATGGTTAACTTATTTCTCAGAAAGAGAGGGAAAAACTAAAATTCCTTGTTAGGGCCTAGAAAAAAGGAGTGGCCTGCTATATCATGCAAAAATGCTTTTTGGCGCCTCAGATTAATCACGTAATAGCTGTCGTCCATTCAGTATTTGTTTAAGTTTTAGGGAATCTATATAAATTACCGGGGCATACCTTACAGATTGTTCTGCCTTTGGCTGATTATGCAATGCCCTCACCACTCAAGAAAGCACAGAGGTCTTACTAAATAGTCAGTATTGCCTCGAGCTGGGTTGATTTAGGATGTGTGAAAAGCGCTCACAGAGCCAGATGCCTGCTGCTAGTTCACAGCGAATGAGCCTTGTCCTTTCCACACGGAAGAGTTTCTTCTGTTTTTAATGTGGTTTATTTGTGGCTCAGAAATAGTTGCTGTGGTGAAAATACTCGTTAGCAAAGAAGGTAGCTACAGCATCCTTTGGAAAGGCCCATGAGCTATATGAAAAAGCCATAAGAAGCCGGCCGTTTCATTTATGTGTCAGGAGTAGCTCTTGATTATGTTAATGTTGTTTTAAGATAAGGTGACGTTTTTCCTGCTTTTAGGGTTAAAATCAAAGAGAGTTTATATTTTTGTCATTATAGATCATAGTTATAATGTAGTAAGTTAAGCATGCCGACCTGGTGTGTAGTGAAATCCCTAATAATAAATAAGAAAAGCAATAATTTTCTAAAGCTGTGATATGGGTAATACAGAGTTGCTTCTCAGATTCCAATAAAGCTCTTAATTCATATTGTGAATTATGGAACACTACTTTTTATAAAGCCATATTTTTTTAAGGACGCTTAGGAGTGACATGGAACAGATAAATGAGTAAAATAAATTCTGCTAGATTTTTGTATGTAATCATCTCTAGAACTGTAGAAATACAGGATTCATTATGCTGTGGTCAACTTCAAATACTTTTTAATTCCAAATCTCTGAATTTATGAGCCTTGCCTTTACAAATGTATGCCAAGCGGGCAACATCAGTGGATTTTCTAAAAGTAATGTAAATGTCTTTTGTTTAATGTTATTTGAGTGCAATAAAATGCAGACGATTTCTTCTCTATATTGTCGTTATTCTGAAATATATTATTTTTTATTTTGTTACATAATAAAATCAGTTCATTTTATGCTTACTGGTCTTTTAGAATATTATAGTGTTTCTGATGACTAAAGTCACAATGTAGTACCTGCAACTCCTTTCCCAACCGATTTCTAGCAGGTAGTGTTTATTTCGTTTAACATTTACTATTACGCTACATTTGCAGGGGCAGGATTACAATGAAATAACCCCTGTATCCATCCTTTGCAGGTTTTGGTTTAGTCCTAGGAGTTTGGGTAATTCCCTGGTGAGGCCACCCCAAATCCCCTGTACCCTTCTGATCCCCCATGGCCATCACCCTGTGAAGATATTAATGTCATCCGGGGAATTGAGCTTCTGGGATTCTGAAAGTATTGTTTTCTCCAACATGCCTAGAAGAAAATTAAAATAAAAATAAACTCAGGGTGAGCAGACTCACTTTCACTGCTAAGTGCTTCGTGTATGTTAGGGAGTTGAAGCAGATGGGGTTATCCCTAGTTACAGACAAGGAAACTGAGGGCCCAAGAGGCTGAACCGCCGGCCAGCCCAAAGCCATTCATGGTATTCTAGAGTGGACGCGTGGGCACCAGATAGCGGATCACTGGGGGATGTGAAGGCATTGCTGATAGCACTAAAAAGAGAGCTCATTCAGATTTTTTATGCTTTTCTTCCATTCTGTATCTCTGATGCCTATGAGAGAGCATCCTATTAAATGAAGCACTGCCTAACTTTATGACAAGGTTATAGTTAATAAGATCAAGAAGACTTTTTTGTTTGTTTGTTTTTAATATCCTGGATACCTCCTGCAGTCAACTGGCCAGAAAGTGTATGGCAATCAAGTTTCTAAAGCCCGCTCTTTGCAAAAGCCAAGACCTGCCCTTCTCTGGTCTTTGTTTCTCTGCACAGTGGGAAGATCATACGCTTTGAAATGATGTAAACCGCTGACCTTGAGATCTTGACGCACTCCACTTTCTCAGCCTCAGCTTCCTCCATTGCGCAGCGTGGGAGATAAGACCTTCTCCCATAGGGTATCAGGGACAAGAGGCATATGTGATGTGCTTAGCTCTAAGCCTGGCACACTGTAGCTTTCAAAGTGAGTTCCCTTCCTGTCACCTAGGGTTTCAGAGGAGAAAAATTCTTGACCCACAAAAATTCCTTTTTTGCATCAGAAGCCTGCCTCCGATTTCCTTCTCTGGCCCCACCCCCCAATAAAAAATGAAATGGTTTATATGAATGAAGGTAGAAAACTGGGGACCAAAAAGTCGGGTGATCCGTGATTGCATCACTACCCCCACCCCTACCCTGGTCAGCACCCACATCTCCTGTCTACCATGGGGAAAGGACCAAGTCTGATTTTTTTTTTTTTCCAATTTTTCTTTTCTTTTTTAGCTGAGCCATCCTGCCACCTGTTGGCAGCTCAGCTCGGGTCGGGACCGCTGTTGCTCAGAGCTCGCACTCTTGAGCGAGCTTTTAACCAACTGAGCTACTTGGCTGGCCCTTGGAGTCTGATTTTTATTCGTTTCCCAAACTGCCCCATCCCCACTCCAGCACATATGCGTGCACACATGTTCCTAGAAATACCCAGAAACTAGATAGGCTCCTCCTGGGACTAAACTGGTCTACCTTGAAAATGTCCTAGCTACTAATCTGTACTAAACAGTAGGCCAGATGTGAGGTTATAAATGCAGAAATTTGTTTAGAAACACGTGGTCAGGTCATGTGCTGTTGTCTTGCATGTGGGATGGATGTTCTTTGGCGGGTCCAGGTTCTCGGTGGGTTTCACTGTGCTTAGTAACCCCATTCATGGGAGAGAAACTAACTGAGTCACTGAGTGAAAAGCTGACAGAGGTGGGCTCTCGGGCCCATCTCGGCCCCTCAGCATGCGAGCTGCTTCACACCTGGGCTCAGCACAGGCACCCCCAGTGGCTCACCTGTGCATGTGTGAAGTTCTTAGAAGAATGAGACTAGTGTCCCCAGTAGTGTGACACGCTGCATTCCTTTAAAGCACACGGTGCCTATTCTAAAGCAGTCTTATGTTTTTAGAAGACCATATAAAATATTGAGCAAGCTTTGATACGAGCTTCTCCCTGCCCCAGTTTGCCTTTGTACTCATAGAGGTGCCTGGAGGTGGTGGAGATGACCCGCAGCAACTGGCATATGGATGCAGAACACACAGGCTGGTACCCGATGCCTAGTTACCGCTCGGTGGCATTTATAAGTAATTCAAATGAGTCTAATCTTAACATTTTATAACAAATTTCATGTGTAAAGAATTCAGGATTTAGGAAAATTGAATTGTTTGCCCAGAAACATTTTTCTTAAATTATATGGATTTGAATTCATATAAATATAGCCCTATATTTTGAGATACTGAATGGTGACTTTCACAGTACTTACTTTGTTTTGTCTTTGTGTTTCAGAAGCAAATCAGAAAACAGATGACCCAGAACAAAAAGAAAAAGGTGAGATTATCAAATAAACGACCTTTCAAATATATATCTGAAAAACTCATCATACCATCCATAATCAAAATGATGATTTTATTTTGTAAGACTAGTTAAATTGCTACTGGGTGTACTATTTCAATGATTTTGTCAACAAACATTTATTAATATCCTACATCAACATTTAGAGCTAAGGCTCTGGAGAGAGATTGCCCGGCTTTTAACCCTTGTTTTGCCGTTTGCAGTTTGTGTCCTTGGGAATGACTTAACCTCTGTGCCTCAGTTTCCTCATCTGTCACATAGGACTGATATTGCCAACTTCAGAAACCATGCCAGCATTGTTTCCACAATAGTAATTAAGTAAAAATATAGGTAAAATGCTTAAAGCAGCATCCAACACAGGCAGAGCACTTAGGAAATGTTAAATATTATTGTCACCTACGTTGGCAACTGTGCTAGGTGCAGAGATCCAAAGATTACTAGAACTCATTGTCTTTTTTCAAGGAACTCCAAATTGTTGGAAAGAAAGGCTTGCAAATAAAACTACATCCATATAGAAAGGACCATTTCTGCTTCCCAAGAGTTTTTTACAAAGGCATTCTAATAAATTTAATAAGCCAGTAAAATTTTAATTTAACTCTCATAAAAGGTTTCTAAACTTAGATTGAGGAGCTATTTTTATAAGGTTAAAAAATTTATGAATGATCACAAAATAGTGATTGTACTTTCAGGATCAACTGAATGATAAAATCTGTGATTAAACATTACTACAATTTCAGGAACGACTTTAATCTGTAGTGATGAAAAGTGTCTACATTGGAAAGACACAGGACACGCAATGTACAGGATCTAAGCTACTCAGTATGTAGATAATACATGGTGAACATATGGAGTTGCTGGCCCCTGGTGGTAATTTTGTAGCCCTTAGGCTGGGAACTAGGCATTCCAGCTCATGCATTTTTTTTTTCTAACTGGTTGTTTTTCATTTTTTATCAAAGTTATATAGAGAAATACTGTAATACCTTGGTTTGCGAGCATAATTCATTCCGGAAACAAACTACTCGTATTGCAAGACATCACTCGTTTACTAAGTTAAAATGTAATAGAAATGTTTGCTCGTCTTGCGGAACATTCGCAAACCATGTTACTCACCGTCCAAGGTTTTACTGTAGTTTTAAATGTTATGACTTAAAGAAAAGCAGTCGTCTTCTACCTTACTACTCTCTATCCATGAATTCCATTTCCAGCTGTCTTTCAGCTGTTTCCTCTAGTACTTACCTACCCATGTCTAATTCTGCCTTTCCTCAATATCGGAAACTTTCGGTTGACTCTTGTATATAGATGACTAGGATTTAGCTCAATCATCAAGCTCTCCATGCTGCCATGCTCCCCAACCTTCCAGTACATTCCGGACTCTGTTAGATAGTGGTAAGTGCTGGGGAGAGAAAAACAGAGCAGGGGGGAGAGTCGCAGCAGCGTTGGCAAGAACTAACCGCTTCTGCTCAACCCTTCCTCACTGGCCCACCTGATAGCACGTTCTCGGAGCACGTTCTCGAGGCTTGTCTCCTGCTCTGTACCATTGGCTTTTTCTCACCACCTTTGGATGGAAGCGCCGCGTCTCTCTGACTGTCAAACATCCGAGTGCCGCAGGACTCAGTCTTCAGAGGATTTCTATCTACACACACGCCCTTGGTGATCTCGTCTGATCTCAGGGCTTCACATAGCTCAGTATGTCCGAGATGACCTCATTCCTTTGCAGCTGGGGTCTCTTCCCTGGACCCTAGACTGGTATACCCAGCGGCCTACCCGATGTCTACCTGATGACCTCGACTGGGTGTCCGAGCATCAAACCCTGTCAGCCTTCCCCAGAATATATCTGGAATTCACCTACTTCCTGCCACCTTCACCCACGCCCCCCACGTTCCAGCCACCACCATCTCTTGTTTGAATTATTCCAGTTGCCTCCTTCCGGCTTCCACCTTTGTCTCTATAATCTTTCTCAATACAGCAGCCACACTGACGCTCTGAAACCTACGTTGTATCATGTTGCTCAGATGCCTCCAGCATCTTTAAATCTTCCTCAGAGTAAAAGCAAAGTCCTTTGCAGTGGTTGACACAATCTGTCCTCTCTGCTTCCTCGTCCACTGGTTTCCTTCCCGGCCTCGTGAACTGCGACTCCTTCCTTTGCTGACTCTACGCCAGCTACACTGGCTTCCAGGGCCTTTGCACGGGCCATCCCGCCAGGCTCAGCGTTCTCCCCCACGTACCTACCTGGCTTGCTGCTTGAGTCTTTTCTCACCTGTTGCCCGCTCAGTGAGCCTCCATCTTGTTTCCGATGGCAACCCTCTTACTCTCTATTCTATTTCCTTGCTTTGTTTTCTCCGTAGCAATTACAACCATGCAATTGTATTTGATGGTTTAATTCTTTAGTGTTTATTTTCTGAGCGTCCAAACTTTGTCTGTTTGCTCACTGCTGCATTGCCTGTGCCTGACATATAGTAGGCAGTCAGTAAATATTTGTTGGATGAATTTCTATTATTTT